ACCCACTACAGATACTATGGAAGAAGGAGAGTCAGACTCCACTCAAGAGTGGACCGGCGAAGATGGCGAGATGGACGACGGTGGTTTCGAACCTGAAGAAGTTCCTGTCGACCTCACCCTGGCGGACACGGAAGATAGCGACGAGGAGGCGGTGACGGGAGCAGAAAGGGACAACCTATCGTACTCGAGCGAGCTACCAGACGAGTCAACCCGGGGCACCTCCATTGGTAGTACATCCCCCGGGGCACGTCCCCACGGTACGCTCTCCACGGCACATCTCCGGGTACGCGTCTCCACGGTACGCATCTCCCCGGTATGCGTCCCCACGCTACGCGTCTTCCCAGCATGCGTCGCCCCACTACGTGCCCGGGTACGAATATAACCCACACTGGGCAACGGAAGAACCACCTCCCTCGACGTACAGGCCTTTCCCTCGCGGACGGTGTCAGTCCCCTCATCCAGCATCCTTTGCCAACCTGGGGGGGCATATGTATGAGCCCCGACACGACCACTATTCGCCTACCAGAGGTCGCTCACGTGACCCAAGACGAGGGCAAGGTGTATACCAGCGGACAACCGAGGCAACTGTGGACCGATATAGCGAAGTTCAAGAGTCCGAAGAGGAGGAGGATGAAGACAGCGAGTGGACTGCCAGCTTCATTAGGGAACGGGAGGATTACCACTGGGCGACAATCCCTGGGGGATATCGGGTCACCCAAGTCCGGCAGGTGACGATGGACATAATTCCACCTCTAGGACAAGGCCCCGCGTTCCGGTTTGAAGCAAACTGCGGCAGAACTCGTGCACCCCCACTGGCCGCACGAGCGGCATGGAGCGAAGGATGCCGCAATGAGAACACCCAGGTGGCCCGGGAGCCCACGCCCCCACCCCAGGAGGTAGACGACGATACCAGGCAGAGTCGCGAAGACAGGCGAAGCACAGGACAGTCGATAAATGATGGGCAAGATGTCGCTGAGGGAACTGGAACCGCACGACGCCGCCGGATACGCCCGCGGAAGTACTGCACCTGGGACTCCATCCCGTCCGAGGAAGAACAAGAGGATGATCAACCGCTCCTACGGCGTAGATACGCTGAGTCGTCCGGGGACGAGTGGGAAGTTTCCCAAGATACCAGCTTCCCGACTCTGAGTCTCCGGCGACGCAACTCTAGGGCCACGACGATTGAGCCCGAAGAACCCCAAGCTATACCGGAGGCAGAACCCGGAACAGGGGCCGGAGTAGAGGACCTAGACGTGATCGATTTCGGCCTGGGACTAGAAGGCGACGAAGAGGGTTATGGGGTAGAGGAGTTGCTGCAGGACATCGAGGCGCTAGAGCGAGCCGCAACCGAGACCTCTCGACAGACGCTGTTGGAAGCACCAGAGACCTGGAGGGTCTACACGCCCGGCCGTATGCTCCCGGAGGAGCTAGTGAACGAATTGACCAGATTCGTGCCACAAGGACCAAAGAGGGATCGCTTCACCCGAGAAATCGACGGAGGCGTGTATCGAGTGACACGGAATGTCGATGCTGAAGGGAAAACGGCTCTGACCGTAGTCCTTCGTCCTCCCAAGTAAGGGGGGGGGTGTGACGGCGATTCCGATGCCGCCACAATTATTCCCGATCCCCACGGAGGGGAGGAGGAAATATGCGTATTTTTATTATTAATATTATTGTTATTCCTTTGATTTTTTAGCTTTAAGAGAAAAACAATGAATTAATAATTAGCATAATAAGCCTAGGCAAAAACAAACATAAGTACATTATTTAATAAGTGGAAAAGAGAGGGGAGAGCGGGGAAGAGAGGAGAGCGGGGAAGAGAGGCGAAACCGGGAACAACTCCTACGCAGTTGCCTAAGGAATTCACCCCAAAAAGAGCATGAGAGAGGAGTAAATTGAACGACCTGAACGGAGTGCAAAGCCCACCTCAGCGACTGCGCGGTCGACGACAACGGAGAGCGAGAAGGAATATCGAAAAGCGAGCTGGGCAGAGTAGAGTAGTTGCTGTTGCCAAAAGGAGAAAGGGAGTCGCGAAATTGAACTTCACCACTGCGACTGCGTGGTAAGAAGATGGTGAGATCGGAGAGGCCAAGGGCACGAGAACAAAATTAAAAAGAACGCAAGGGACTGACACGCGAACATCGAAGCCGGATAGTCGTACTTGGAGAAAACGAGATAAGTCGCAATTAGGCAGACCACGTGGTTTTAGTCGGTAAGCAAAACGGTACAGTCGTGCAGAATTTTACTGGTGCAGCGAGAAACGCGATTAGATCGTAAAATTGTAGAACGAAGATTGGTGAACTCATGTGAACAAGACGAATAGGCGAAAGAAGCCAACAGTGAATAAAGACTAAATTAATAAATTATAATTTCGACAACGTGTGTATATTCTTTTTCCTGACCTTCGACCCGCTTCAATTAAGCCCGTTGAATAAATAATTTAATTATAACAAGTGATAATAACCCTAACCTGAGAATCGATCAAACGTAACGGAACCGTAACCCCGACGCGTAATTAACTAACATATCGGCCGTTAATAGGGTAGTATCGTAGTTATTATTAAAGCCCTGGGTCCGCCCGAGTTTTATCTTAGTTATTATTAAAGCCCTGGGTCCGCCCGAGTTTTACCGTACTTAGTAATAAAACCCTGGGTCTGCCCGAGTTTTGCCGTAGTTATTATTAAAGCCCTGGGTTCGCCCGAGTTTTACCGTAGTTATTATTAAAGCCCTGGGTCTGCCCGAGTTTTACCGTAGTTATTATTAAAGCCCTGGGTCCGCCCGAGTTTTACTGTAGTTATTACTAAAGCCCTGGGTCCGCCCGAGTTTTACCGTAGTTGTTATTAAAGCCCTGGGTCCGCCCGAGTTTTATCGTAGTACTTATTAAAAACCTGAGTCCGCCCGAATTACATCGTAGTAATTATTAAAAATCCAAGGGGGCTACCCAAGTTTTACTCTAACCAAACCCTGCCTCGACCAAATTTATGGTAGCCACCGATAAAGCATATCACTGACATAGGTTCCTACGATAACTATTTACTAAGTCCTGGGTCTGCCCGGGCTAAGTAACCAGTCTTAGGTACAGCCACGTACCTTTTGTCGCGGTTTCTTCTCCTAATTATAAGGACCACGCCTAAAAACTCACCCGATTAACCCACATCGTCCACTGTAAATTTATAAATAGTTTGTGGAGGCCCTAGCCAACCCCTGAGCATATCCTGGCTGGGAAAACATCCTTACAAGAAGTGCAACTTAAAAATTTTTTAACATCTAACATACATGTAGAAAAACAAGAATAATATAATAACAAGAAAGGAAAGCTAACTTCGGGTGGAGCCGAAGTTGATATACCCTTGCAGAATATTCTATAAATTATATTCTCCAAAATTATTCATATGATGCATTCTTAATACTTATAAAAATAGTCTATCCAATCCTAATATGAAATTTTGTAGGTCGGATTGATTGGCCAAAAATAAAACCCATAGAAAATCCCAACTTCCCAACTTTACAAACACCAAAGCTATGGCATTTCCGATCAATCAGTTATATGGCGGCTATAGGATATAGTCGTCATAGCCAAAAATAAAACCCATAGCAAATCCCAACTTCCTAACTTTAAAACAAGAGAGAACGCTATAGTCGGGTGCCCCGACTATCAGATACCCGTTACTCAGGTAAAGGGAGTGCGAGGGAGATGGAGATAGAAACTTTAATCACGCATAACTTTTTAACGAATGGTCCGATTTGAAAAATTTCTTCTACATTTCGATAGGTATTGATAAACACAATAAAACTGCATTTTTACTTTTCCGAAATATTTAAATTTTTAAAATCGTATTTAAGCGATTGTGGGCGTTAAAGGGGGCGTGGCACCTTTTTGAAACAAACTTGCGCTGCGTAGGAACTCCTAAAATCTACATGCAAAATGCCAATCTTCTAGCTTTTATAGTTTCCGAGATCTCCGCGTTCATACGGACAGACAGACAAACAGACGGACAGACAGACGGACAGACGGAGAGACAGACAGACGGACATGGCTAGATCGACTCGGCTAGTGATCCTGAACAAGAATATATATACTTTATAGGGTCGGAAACGCTTCCTTCTAGCTGTTACATACTTTTGCACGAATACAATATACCCTTTTACTCTACGAGTAACGGGTATAAAAAAACACTAAAGTTATGGCTTTTCCGATCGTTCAGTTATATGGCAGCTATATGATATAGTGGCCCGATCCAGCTCGTTCCGACTTATATACTACCTGCAATAGAAAGACAACTTTTGGGAAAGTTTCAAGCAGATAGCTGTAAAACTGAGGGACTAGTTTGCGTAGAAACGGACGGACAGACGGACGGACAGACGGACATGGCTAGATCGACTCTCCTGGTGATGCTGATCAAGAATATATATACTTTATAGGGTCGGAAATGTCTCCTTCACTGCGTTGCAAACTTTTGACTGAAATTATAATACCCTCTGCAAGGGTATAAAAATTCATAAGTCAAACATATAAAATAGTTGGATCCTAAAATGTTTCCTGTCTTTAATAGCACTAATTTAATATATATATATTGAAGGAAATATGAGTATAACATTGACAAGATGCAACTTATAGACAAAAATTGAGCAATTTTGATAATCACATACATTAAAATATTTTTTGCACAAGGAAATAAATGATTAAGCTTAATTAAAAAGCATTGTATTTTAATTACATTTATATTTCGTTTTTAATTTTTTATGAGAAAATTATATGCTCATTTCTTTCTTCATCATCCAGACTTATTTTTGTACCTGAGGATAAAATTAGTATATTCCGATTAGTTTACTCTAGTAATACATTAAAAGGAAAATGGGTAATATACATATATGTAAGCAGAATTATCATCATTTAAAACTTATCTGTTCTACAAAATTATTAATTTCCCGAGTATTGTTTTAAACAACAATATCAATGACATAAATACGTAAACATTTGAAAAGTTACGATGCTTTACCTGTCCCGACGATGAAGTTTGCAAATAAGAAGAAACGTCCGTCTCGATCATACAGCCTCTTAAAGTATCTGGTATAAACATACCTTAGGTATTGGTTTGCTCATTGAATTTGTTATTATAGCTTTGAATCCATCGAAAAAGATCTAAAACAGAACTTGAAAAATAAAAACAGCGTGTTGAAAACAAACATTATAACTTTGATAAGTCACAAACGTATTTCAAATTTATTTAAAATTGTATAATACTCTAAAGAACCGTATAACTTTATGATTATAAATTAATCTAGATTCAATTCAGGAGAATAGGGTAATTTAAAGCAGTTACATTATAAATTCCTCAAATTTTTATAAATTAAAATCGCACTTTAAAAATCTTTAGTGTTAGCGACAAACTTAATTTTATTATTTTTCGAGTATTATAGTTGTATTATAGTATACAGTTGTATAATTAAATCGTCCGATCAGAACTTTGATAAGTAAATAAGTATCGTCATATTCCCAAAAAAAAGTATAGAATCTAGACTTTTTAAAGTTTTTGAAAAATAGGTGCCAAAAACATAAGTAAAACTGTACATCTCCGTTTGTATTAATCCGATTGGCTTATTTTCTTATGAATTCATATTTTGTAATATCCCATTTTTAAAATATTTTTTTTTAAATCACGATTTTTTAATTTCTTAAATACAAAAAACAGTTACAGTATAGTATTACAAACATTTTTATGCTGACCCAAACAACAAAAATGATGTAAAAACTTTCTAGGTAGGGGTCACTGGTTGCGAAACACCCTGGCAATAGTTCAATAGGCAATTTTCAAGCACACATATGAAACCACATGGGATGTTTGGCAAAAAAAATAGGATAACCTAGAAGCAAGACCACCGGGTTGCAGGTGTTGTATGGCCGATGTGACCAAGTAAACAAAGTGGCTTATGCACGGCTCGCGTACTTTGGCGTCCTTAAAAAGAATTGGTCCTGCATAATCGTAACCAGTGCTAACAAATGTGAATCCTTGGGTTACAATCAAGATCAATAGGATCGGCAGCCATCAGACCCCTCGACGCATAGTTAGCTGGATTTGACTTGGAGTATGGTATCGAGATTTCAAAAGTTCTGTTTCCAACAAATCTTTTTAATTGAGTAGTTGCATATGATAACCAGGGGAAAACTTTTGATGAGTCGCAAAGTTCCAGGCGCCACTGCCACTAAATATACTGAAATGGAGCCATCCTTATTTGAGTAGTTGTATACCGCATTAGAGTAAACCTTGGTTGATGTGCTTAAAAATGTGAAGTTAAATGTTGTTCGCTTCGTTAGCAACAGAGCGAGGTAATTGAATTTGTTGAAGATTATCTAAATCGGATCGCCATTTTAGCCAATATTTACCAGTTTGCTCGGAATTTGATCATCACAATACAGATTAAAAAGCCACAGCCTTTAAAATAGTATTTTGAATAAGATAACAATGAGTCCAAAAGTGTTAAAGGATCAAATATACTTGACACGTCTGACACGACTTGTCTTTTTGTGCAATCGGGGTTTGCAGCTAGAACCACATTGTAAGTTAATGTGTCCTTTCCAGGAAGCCAGTGAACCCCAAGAACCTTAACCGGCGACGTATGAGTTGATTTTGCAGAGACGTCGATGTCGTTCATATGTATGCATGGGGTATTGGATAAGCACTTACCGAGCTTAACTCGTTCCTGTTCTGTAGTAGCTTATCTGGCCCAGTAAAAACTTTATCCACACAAAAATCTTTTTTTTTTTTTTTTGTATTTTAGCAGCATTTGGGTATTCTTCTTGGTGATCAACAACCAGTTGTTCAAAGGCGTGAACTGCAATTGTAATGTATTGTATTGTATTGTATTTTAGCATCCTCTCTCCAGACGATTTTTTGAAAGTTTCAATTTTCTTTAATGACCTGTATTTGCCGTTTACAATGCCTGCCGAGAATCCGTATTTTTACACGCTAAAGCGAAGGCACACAGCAAATATATTGCACACTATACTAGGTGCTGTTTTGGAGACGCGGAATAATCTGTCAAAAATTACTGCCAGTTGACTGTACTATTTTCGTCTCGCGTTACTTCTTTCATGTGTCTGAGGTTAATGTATTGCCGCATAATAAATATGTCCTGCCTGCGCAGTTGCTCGTTTTGCGTGAACGTCGCGTGACTTCAAATTCAGGATTTGAACTTTTGAATGGAAGTTTCACTATGACAAGATGCGAGATGCGACGTTCGGATACAGTCGAGAATTCGACGTCCGTGTCCAATGAGAGTAAGGATGCGACGTTGCCTCCCTTAGCGTTTTTAACATAACGCTCTTAACTTAACGCTTCTTGGGCCAAATGGCTTGTTGTAACCGGAGTGTCCCGATGCACGTTTGTGTTTCGCTCGTCCTCTTCTATTTGGGCGAGAGTCCCAAGTGTATGGAGTTGGTAGTTGTGAGGTCCCTTGCATTGCTTACATAATAATTTGGACTTAAACCTGCTGACCCCATGACCAGGTTTCCCATTCACAAGAAATTGCCTTTGTAAGCCAGATATATTTAAAAACTGCTGGCAGCAATTCAAAAGTGAGCTGTAAAAGTTTATTTGGTGTTGAGTTTCACAAACCATTGGTTTTTGCGTATTGCTTTTGCTACTGTCCTTAACCTTAACCATCGATTGTGATTGTTTCAAGTGAAGAAATTTCTGTATATTTGAAAAATGCTGATTTTTATGAAATGAGCTCTTATAATTGTCTTGAAAGGCTGGCCACTCTGTGTAGCTTCCAAAGAACCGCATGATTTGATTTCGCTCTGTGTAGAAATAGCAGATACCGTTTGTGAATTCGCTGTGACTAAGTCACCCTTATCAACCAATTGCATGTTTGATGAGCTGCTAGTTATAGTTGTTTTGGTTGTATGGTATCAAAAATCTTTTTTCTTCCGTCTTCGAATTTTCAGTGTAGGGTTTTAAGTCATATTTACAGGCTTGCAGTTCTACATATTGAATTGACCTATTAAAAAGTTATATTATCCTTTGCTTTATTGAAGGTCAATACCAAAGCAGAACGTCAATTTTCCTAAGTCTTTCTGCTAAGCTGTCGAGCTTCTTGTGCCGTATGTAGTCTTTCTTAATTCGCATAGCTTCTTAGGACGATACTGCTGCTTCTCCTTCGAAGTGTGTATTGATTGGAATCACGTGAAACATTTTGGTAAAGATCTTCATTAATATCGGAGATATTAGGGTAAGAGATTTTGGTAAACGCTGTTAAAGTCAAATTTATGAGCCCGAGTTTCACGGTAAAACTATTAACACGTGTTTTGTGCGCATTCAGGAAAAATGTTTTATTGTAGTCGATGCCATGTCGATTGGTGAACCCTTCAGGGACTATTCCAGCTTTATTAAGTCAGGATACATTAGTAGTATAACGACAGAACTCCACCTACGTTAAAACCAATGAACTTTGGCAACTCACAATTGCCAAAAAAGCTTATCTGATCGTAACATTGGGGTGTTTCTGATGCTTTGCTTCCATCCCCGTAGATAGCTGATGAGTCTGAGGTGACGTACAGACGAAACTAGCCCCAGGGAGTGTAAGTGTGATGAAAGTTAAGTGGAATAAATCGTTGTGTTATAGAAGAAATTAAAATCTAACCAACGTAATGACCTCGAGTAATTCAATAACACTACAAGTATAACATATAAATTTATTAAAACGTCGATCAACCAACATAATGGCTATAATACGTTGGGTATAACGAGAAATAGATAACATGATTACATAATAGGATGGATCCAATAGCAATCCAATAAATGTTATAATTCGGGTAGGTCATAGTTTACATTGAAAGATGTAAATGGGAGTGTGTCACAGTTTTTTTGAAATAATTAACAGGGCATTAGTCAGTGGATTGAGTGACTGCGGAATGGAGTCAGAAGATGCGAGTATCAGTAAAATCAGTGGAGTAAGTAAGGAAATGCTTTTGCTATGGGGACGAGTCTCAATTCGACACCAAGTGCTTTAGATACGACCAGTCAGGACACAGTGCAACTCAGTGCAAGGTCGAGATGATAGCTAAACAGGAAGAAACAACAAACTTAGTACAGATGGAAAGCGGGCGAACACGACAAGCACTTTTATGTTGTCGGGATTGAAGTTAAAGTTAAAGATTTCTTTAATTAACGGTATTTTAGCAAGCTCGTGAATGGATATGCGGTTATAACGAAGCCGTTTTCAGATTTGCTGAGGAAAGATGTTTGTGTTTAAAGAGTTTCACCAAGTTGCAAGGTATCAAGGCATGGTTGATTAGAAATTCAGTTTAAAAACTGTATAATCCAAATTAACTACGGAAATACTCACGGATGCCTCTAAGATAGGGTTTGGAAGAAGACAGTCAACTACGAGATAGAAATCAGATCAGGAACAAAGATGTTTCCTATTGGCAGAGAGTGTGATTCACAAGTTAAATGAAGCCTAGATGGCAGTTGAGTGGTCCAGAAAAGTTAAAATTTTATTGTTTAAAAACCCTGACCGAGAGTTAATAGTAGTCCCGAAAAAATTGCTCATAAGGCCATTTTTCGGCTAAGAAAACGTGAGAAATGCATAAATCCTATTCCATTCAAAAGCTGAGGGATAAAGTATCCAGAGTAGTAGGCAGTTGTGTGGAGTGTATTAACGCAACAATGTAAAAACAAGAAGATTATTTAAATCCTATCGATAAGGGCAATAAGCCCTTAGTCACATATTACATAGATCACGTGGGACCGAGGGAGATCGCTAAAAAATGGTTTAATCACATCTTAGTTGTCGTAGATGCATTTTCCAAATGCATCTGATTGTATTCGACCCACACTACAGAACTCGAAGATGTGCTTAATAGCTTGCAGTAACTTTTAGTAATCCGTTCATGATAGTATCGGATCGGGATATTGCGTTAGCCTCGCCATTATTTAAGAAATACTGCAACAAACCAAAAATTCAGCATTTGTTAATCTCTATAGGATTACCTCGTAGTAATGGGCAAGTCCAAAGAATGCATTAAATCGTGGGGCCAATGTTATCAAAGATGAGCCTAGTAAATCCAGGAAATTTGTACAAACTGTGGGTAAAGTATAGCAATTGATCAACAATATCGAGCCCAGGAGCACAAAAGTAAATCCGTTTAAGCTGTTAACATGTGTTGATATGGGTGTGCTGATAGCACTGTGGCACAGTCTTTGATAAAAGAGTTAGCCTAAGAGCGTGAAACTTTACGCAATAAGGCCAGGGAAAATATTGAAGCCTTACAGAAGGCAATACTTTGATTCAAAGAAAAAGGACGAAAAGCTCTACAACGTGAACTATTTAGCTTTGAAATGTCATGAAATTCTCACTGGATAATCGATAAAGATAACGCACCAGTCGACATATAGATGGCGCTATATTCAAAAAGACATGTTTACTTTGGATCGCACCTTGTATATATGGTAAGTATAATATAATATTATTAATACTAAAAATTTCTTTCCTTACATGTTGAGAAGATAATATCAACAAAAAGTCTTGCAAATGAAACGTAATAATGCGCTTCATTGGTTTAAAAATTGCAGACTATTTAGAAATACCTTTATAATTTTAGATATCAGACTTCCTACACTTTTTATGGACTGGAATAAAAACTCTTAACAGACTGTAGACAAAATAAAAAGCTTAAGAATTCGCACAAGACTTAGCCACACGCCCAGGGAGTCCACCCGGCCATTCGTTGCAATATATCGGCGTAGTCTCGAAATTGTGCAGTGGCGCCTCCATACCCATGAAATGGTTAGTAGTTTTGTTAAAGGTAGTAAAGTTGTAAAGGCAAATAACGCAGACATACACTGGCGAATTTGTTTGACAAATTGTGAATAGAAAATTAACAGAAGGATCATGTCAACGGATTTTAACGATGGCTATTTGATATTTCTGTTTCCATACCCCCACATTTTGCCTGTTACATTGCTGGTTCATTCTAAACACAATTTTTGAACTCAATTAAAAATTCTTCTGATATTATGGCTTATTTATCTATACGAAAGTTATTCATAAATTAAGCTTGTGGGAGCATTGCCATCCGCTGTCGAGTTTGTTCTCGCGAACGCAGACAAGATGTAATCCTTTCCGATTTATATTCTACTATACTACTTTAGTACTAGAACCCTTTTGAAAAGTTTCATTCCAAAAGGTTTAAAACTAAGAGACTAAGAGAAAAGGACGGCTACACGGACATATGTAGCTATAGTCTAGCTTGTCAAGAGTATATATTCGTTATTGGGTCGGAAATGTATTCCTTATTACAGGGGTATACAAATTACTCAGAGTCATAATAATTTAATAGAGTCCTTAGGTGACTTTTGCTTTGCAGCTTTAATAATACACATATTTTAGCTATATATCGCAAAACTACTACTTCTCCGAGTAGTAGGACTTTTTAATGACAAAAAGAATATAAATTTTTCTTGCCGCTAATATGCTATAATTTTCTATTGCCTACCACAAGTGTAAAAAAGCGAGAGCCCATCAGAAGAGGATGGCCCAAAATGGCAAGATATCGGAGATGTAAAACAAGAACGGAAAGCTAACTTCGGGCGGAGCCGAAGTTGATATACCCTTGCAGAATATTCTGTAAATTATATTCTCCAAAATTATTCATATGATGCATTCTTAATACTCATAAAAAATCCCAACTTCCTAACGTTAAAAACACCAAAGTAATGGCATTTCCAATCGTTCAGTTATATGGCAGCTATAGGATATAGTCGGCCGATCCTTATGAAACTTGGAAGGTCGGATAGATTGGCCAAAAATAAAATCCATAGAAAATCCCAACTTCCTAACTTTACAAACACCAAAGTTATGGCATTTCCGATCAATCAGTTATATGGCAGCTATAGGATATAGTCGACAGATCCCTATGAAATTTGGTAGGTCGGATTGATTGGCAAAATATAAAACCCATAAAAAATCCCAACTTCCTAACTTTAAACATACCAAAGTTATGGCCTTTCCGATCGTTCAGTTATATGGCAGCTATAGGATATAGTCGGCCGATCCAGCTCGTTCCGACTTATAAAGACAGTTTTTGGGAAAGTTTCAAGCAGATATCTTTAAAACTGAGGGACTAGTTTGCGTAGGAACGGACAGACGGACGGACATACGGACAGACGGACATGGCTAGATCGACTCTCCTGGTGATGCTGATCAAGAATATATATACTTTATAGGGTCGGAAATGTCTCCTTCACTGCGTTGCGAACTTTTGACTGAAATTAAACTATTAAACTATTTGAATTAAACGTATCTAATTTGTTGGACATAGGACAGGGAAGGCGTTTTTCGGTGATAAGGCTCTTGTACGCCCAATAAAGTATATTGATAAGAATAGGAAAGTCAATCTAGCCATTACATAAAAACTTAAATACAGTCAAAAACCAAATAAATAAAATTGCCAAGGTCCTATGACAGCTTTGGAATACAAGCCTAGTTGTAGGCACCCTGTGAGTATCTTATAAAGCTTCCATAGGAACGATCGAAAAAATCTTCTGAAAGTCGACATTTAAGCATAAACGCATATAAATTGACATATAAAATATTTATTTTTTTAACAGCTGCAAGGGTATATAATAAGGGCAACGTTGGCTTTCTTTCTTCTTTTTTCTTTAATATTAATTAATATAATATAATAAATCATTACATTTGAATTTTGGGATAAAAGATTTAACGGGAATTTTTTGACAAAATGACCAATAAAACTAGAATGCACTTTTATGGATGGTGTTTTTTTAGTAAAAATAATATTTGATTTTATTTTCGATTTGAAAACAAATGTCCCCATAAGTCAAATTACTGTTACACTCTGATTAAGTTGTTCACACAATAGGGCTATAAATACCTAACATTTTCTTATTCTCAATTATTGGTAAGAGGGAAACTAATAATTATTAGAAAATATTTAAGATAATTAAATTTGGCTGACACAAAGGTTATTATTTTTATTTATCCTCGTTGCATTGCTATAAATGATACTTACGTATGTCTCGTTTGTTTCCCTTTTAATTTATTTTAAGCTGGTTCCTTGATGTTTATCAGTATCGAGTGCCTATCCTGAGACCTATGCTCAGTATAACAGTCTATTTTTTAGGAACGATCGGTCCAAATTTACTAATACATTTTATATGTAAATTAAACTTATTTTTGAATTGTAGATTAACATATTTTTGTCTTACAAATAGATGTACAATTGTTTATAATTGAAACAACTTATACATCAACAGAAATCTGTTAACTTTAATACATACACAGGAGCACTATATAGAATTTTTAGAAGCGATCAAATTTGTTTTCAAAAGATAAATGGTTAACAAAAGATTTAAATCTTGTATTACCAAATATATAAGCAATTTCACCCGCATAAAATTACACAATCAAAACTTATACATGCGCGAACATATATTTATGCATATTTTTGGATATTCTCTTTCTTTTGAACTTTCAAACTTAGTATTTAATATATTTCATTCCCGTATGCAACGAGATGGCGGTTTTAGATTATGTCAAAAATCCAATTTTATATTTGTAATACATTCATGTACACATATCAAGAAAATTCGTAACACATTGAAGAGTAGCTGCGTTATGCAAAACGAGTACCTATAGACTAAATTTAAAATTGGCAAATCGCAGATGACTCCGTGGATTTGTGTTCTCATCAACTGTTAGTCTCTTTGAGAGTCTTATGTATGTACATGAACCCAAATTAATCAACAAATACATAAGCAAGCCAAAGGGCCCGAACGAGTAACCGTTCTAAAAATGGATTCTCCTGCTCTTAGCAAACTGCAACTCAATGAAAGAGCTCATTGATATTCCTAGTGCGCATGTGACAAGAAAGTACAGTATAGGTTCACGTGCAAGTACCATCTATCAAACACTGTACGATATTGACGCATAGCAATTAGCTGTTATTTAAAAGAGAAGGACTTTTAATTTTAATATTTTTTGACAGTTTCAATACGAAAATAAATTAGAACACCATTTCGGTTCCAATTTTGATACCGTTACGACACCTAAACGACTCGTACTCAGATCGACAAACAAGTCCACTAAAACTTTAATCTTTCCAGTATGACCAAAATTTCGAGAGTTCATCCGAACTGAGCGTACTACGGTCTTACTGTCAATCAGCTGGGTTTGTTGACAGCAGGTAAAATTTAAATATCGTATTTGCGGGAAATAGCCTATAAACGATATTAACTACATGGCAAGACAAGTCTGCCGCTGAACAAAGAAAAAACAATACAATTTAAATTTAACAGTTGTTTTCTTTAATTTACTGATAATTATTTGCTAATTTAAAGTTCATAGCTCCACTTTTATTGTGTTTTTTCGTAAATATTTGACCTATGAAATATTTGCTCTGACAATAGGCACCCCAGATAGTATTAATCTTACTTTGTCCTCACATGTCAACTCCTACAGTCGACTTTTGCGGTGTTTTTTTTATTTTTTCTCTTTATTTTTTAAAATGTTCAGTGAGAAGCATACGCCAAAAGATTAAATTTTTTAATGTTTTCGCTAGGGTTCACTAAAAGTTCATTTCAGGTGGTTGGCAAGCGAAGTGATTTTCTGGTATTTTTTTTCGTCAATGTGAGTACCGAGGTGAAAAAACCTGACGAAAAGTGAACGCCAGCTTTTTGCCTCTCGCTCTCTCTCATGACTGTCGAACAGTTTTCGTCGATCTGAGTACTAGGCTTTACGATAAATTAAATCTTAAAAGATTTTTGATTGAATGTGTTAATAAATTTTATATATTTTACATTTTTAATTAAAAATTATTTTTGTTTGGAAATAAAACAATATTAGCGTGAGTTGTAAATGAACTAAGATAATATGATTTTACGGTTTTAAATCTGATAGATTACAATTATTTTACCTTTTTTATCAGATTTTTAAACACCTGAGTACATTTTATGAAGAAATTTCTTAACTATAAAACAAATGGAATGTTTCATCGTGCTTAAAAATATACAGCAATTCAAACATTTTTGCACAATAAAGTAAGGTTACATAAGCCTAGTACTCAGATCGACAAAAACTGTCCGCCAGTCATGAGAGAGAGCGAGAGGCAACAGCTGGCGTTCACTTTGCGTCAACTTTTTGTTCAAGCCTAGTATCCAGATCGACGAAAACCGAACGCCAGTCATGAGAGAGAGCGAGAGGCAAACAGCTGGCGTTCACTTTTCGTCGGGCCTTTTTTTCACGTCGGTCCCCTGATCGACGAAAAAAATACCAGAAAATTCCATAGCGTTGCCAGTCTGCGGAAATTAACTTTGGGTGAACCCTATCGGAAAAGATTAAAAAATTTAATCTTTTGGCGTGCGCTTCTCACTGAACATTATAAGAAATGGAAGGAAAAAGTCAAAAAACTCACAAAAGTCGATTGCAGGTGTTTACATGTGAGGACAAAATAACATTAATACTACCTGAGGTGCCTCTTGTCAGAGCAAAATGTTTTTTAGGTCCAGAATGTACGAAAAAACACAATAAAAGTCCAGCTATGAAGTGTAAATTAGCAAATAATTATCATAAAATTAAAAAAAAACAACTGTTAAATTTAAATTGTATTGTTTTTTAATTTCTTTGTACATCGGCAGACTTGTCTTGCCAAGGTATTTGATAATATCTTTTAAAGGCTCTTTCCTGCAAATATGATATTTGAATTTTAACTGCTTGTCAACAAATCCAGCTGATTGACAGTACGACCGTAGCACGCTTAAATATGATGAACTCTCGAAATGTTGGTCACACTGGTTGGTCATTCTTTTAAGCGGTTGTGTGAATACCGTATAACGGTACGTTTCTAAGCGATACTTATCGGAACTTTTTTCGCGCGACCCTAAAATCTTGGCGCGAAACAATTTAAAATATTAATATTATTATGACTATTAGTCAGTGGATAATAAAGTTGCTTGAAAATATAGCGCTTTTGCGTCGCCGATATTTGCAATTAATAATCCTAGTTCATGCCAAATATGTACTCTTCCTTATCCCGTTAGAATTTTTGGTTTCAGACGTTCCAGTGACCGGAAATCTCATGCACCGTTGAAAAGTAGCGGTGCTTAACAAACACTGTTTAGTTTATTTAGATGATATTATAATTTTATCCACATCCCTTTCGAACATTTAAATTCATTACAACTATTTTTTTTCCAAACTTGCAGAAGCCAATTTAAAATTGCAGTTAGACAAATGTGAATTTTTAAAAAAAGAAGCTAGCTTTCTTGGTCACATCGTAACCCCTATGTTTATGTATTTTATATTTAGATGTTGGTTTAAATTCATTACAATTAGTTTTTTCCAAACTTGCAGAAGTCAATTTTAAATTAAAGCCATAGTTTCATATCCAATTCCAACACAAGTAAAACTCGACTACATAGAAGCATTCAAAAAACTTAAAGCTTTAGTAATCAGAGAACCAATTTTTCACTTTCCCGATTTAAAAGAAATGCACTTTAACCACAGAGGCCAGTAATATAGGGCATGCTTTCTCAAAATTGTTATCCTATATTTAGCAAAACACTTAATTAATTGAACACGAAATAAATTACAGTGCTATCGGAAAGGAATTACTCGCCATAGCTTGGGCCACTAAAACTTTTCGATATTATTTGCTAGGACAACATTTTGCTAGTGAATATCAATCTCTCACGCCCTCTTCCCATATAGTCCGTTCGAAACGGTTGGGATTTTTGACAAATGTGAAACTCCGATTCCCACAGAGCACATCCACTATCCAATAACAGCTGATCTGAACAGCACAACATTTAAAATGAACACAACAGCACTATAAATTATACTTCGTAACAGACTTCAAGTGATCTACGCGCATAAACAAAGTTTGCTTCCTTTCTTGTATATACAAAATTTAGAAAACAAGCAATAAATAATGCAGAATCACAAAAAGAAATAGAACCAGCAAAAAACCAGATGCCTGCATTGTACTCTGAAATGCCAGGCTAAGCAAATGCAACTGTTTTTAAGAGAGGAAAGTGACATATTCACAAATTCAGTTATGTACCAAGAAATAAGAGTATGCAGTTTACGCTTAACCAATGTAAACAATCAACATCAGTAGTTGATGCCGCTCTTCAATAACATAAACCATTCTTGCAATCACTAAGAGCACTCTTACTCTCAAATTATTTTATACTATCAATATACCAAGAAGGCGATCTCGCTCCAAAACTTATGTAAGCAAAGGGAGCACAAGTAAGATTTTTGTCACAAGAGTTTAGTCTTCGCTTTTTTGTTCACCTTAGCGTTGTCCTTAGTCAATTGATGGGGCATTAGTTCGACTCAATTAATAAATGATGTATTGTCTTATATACAAGATAAAACGTATGCTAGAGACATTTCATCTTTCAAGATAACTGTCTCAGGCGAGCTTTTTGAAGCCATATGCTCTGGCGACTTTTGGCTGGATAATATGGTTGTAAAAGAGTTGGAAGCTGAGATAAAGTAGAAGGTCCCGTTGGAGTAAAAACTCAGAATGGTTTTATATATGCGGACTTTATTAGACAAGGAGAGTTTATTTAAATTCGCCAGGACATGCGTGCAGCCTTCGAAAGTACAGTGTGCTTGATCATCGTTGTGTGCTTTTGAAAAGTGAGTCCTCTATCCAAGATCACCCCAAGGTACTTATAGTGGGTCTCATGTCGAAGTACATAGACGAGCATAGAAATTCCTGAGCAATTCAGTGGTCTTTTTGTGAATGTAACACAAGCACATTTGCTGCAGTTTACGCCTTTATTCTATTCGGAAGTCCTCTTTTCAAATCGTGTCACGTACTCCTGTAGACCCAAGATTGCAATATCCATGCTTGCACTCCTGACCAAAATTCTGCGATCAGCATGTTATTGTCGTCAACTTCCGTACAGCCCCAGGAATGTGGCATATCTGAGGTATACAGTGAGTACAATGTCGAGCCTAGGACATTGCCTTGAGGTCCACCAGCTGCAATAAGACGTTTTGACGACTTTTCACCATCGACAACTACACTAAATTTCCTATTCGATAGGAAGCTTTGAAAGAGGAGAAATAGCTGTGGTGTAAGAAGGATCTTTAGCTTGCTGAGGCGATCGTCGTACCATAACCTGTCGAAGGCTTGTTGGATGTCCATTAACACAGCAACTGTGTACATTTTATTCTCCATAGCCTCCAGAGAGAAGTTGACCACGCGATTCAGCTGTTCAGGTGTGCCTTGACTTTTACGAAAACCAAACTGCCATTTTGGAATAGCTCTACTCACGCTTTCTAGTTTAAGGATACGATCCAGCAACTCTTTCTATCATTTTTCCCAGCGCTGGGAGAAGACTGATTGGCCTGTAAGCATCTACTTCGGTGGGCGGCTTTCCAGGTTTGGGAATCATCGTTATGACGTCAGATTTGCATGCACTTGGGTAGTTGCTCACCCTTAAAACGCTGTTAAACAGCAAGACTATGAACAGAAGAGCTTTTTTGGGAAGAATTTTGAGGGTCTTGTTATCTAGAAGGTCCTTGCCTTGAGCTTCAGGGTTACAGGGCTTGTGGGAAGAGCCATTTGAAAACGTCTTTCAAGGCACATTTAATAAATTTTCTTCTGGTCTTGTACTGCGGTATGTCACTCAGTGTGGCAACAACCGGCAAATGATCCGAGGACAGCTCGTATTTTATTTCTGTGGAAAGTTTATTCAGAGGAATTCCATTTACGACAAGAAAGTCCAGAGCTGTTGGCGTTAGTCTGATGTTAGAAGCAAAAAAGGTAGACTCGCCAGTAGCTAGAATTTGGAGACG